AAAAACCTTGACGTTTATAACTGATAAATCCTGTGCTCCTCTGGTTGAATTAATAGTCAGAGGACTAATCATTTAAGCACCTACTGAACTTCCTCTTCCCTAAGATCCCACTTCAGAGCCCAGAAACACAGTTTGGATGCTGTGGGTCTGGTCAGTTCAGGGAGATGTAACTGTCGTCCAAGGTCACACGAACACCTGATGACAGATGTAAGACTGGGATGAGGGTTTCCTCACTGTTTAGTGGCCCCGGCTCTGTTAGAGCAGGAGTTCTCAGTTCTGGCCCCTCTTTAGATTCCCCTGGGGAGCTTTATAAACGCTCAGTGGTATGGCCTCGCCTTCAGAGATGGGGGGTTTGGGGGGTGGGGAGGGAGGGAGGTAGTCCCTGCATCAGGGGCTAGATTTATTCAGTCTTTAGTAAGAAACAAACTTTCTTTGTGAAAAAATTATGTCTTACAAGTTTTAGCTGTGAAAGTTATTAATTGCATTTTAACAATCAGCTACATCAGAGTTTCTAAAAGTCCTGCACAAAGGTGTTCTTGAAAGCAGGGTGTCGAGCTCTTGTGGGCCCTGCCTAAGAAGTGCCCCAAACCAGGGTTTCTCTTGACTGCTTAAAAATTGCCCGGATATTTTGTCAGCTGGTTGGTGTTGCAGTGCCTTCAGAACGCTTTGCCTTGGTGAAGGAAATGGCTGGATTACTTGTCAGAAAAATTTCACAGTTGCTTTTTAAAAATTGTAGTAATATTGGGGCGCCTGGGTGGCTCAGTTGGTTAGGCGACCAACTTGCGCTCAGGTCATGATCTCATCATTCATGGGTTCGAGCTCTGCATTGGGCTCTGTGCTGACAGCTCAGAGCCTGGAGCCTGCTTCAGATTCTGTGTCTCCCTCTCTCTCTGACCCTCCCCTGCTCACGCTGTCTCTCTCTCTCTCTCTCTCTCTCTCTTTCTCACTCACTCATTCACTCACTCTCCCCCCCTCCCTCTCCTTCTCTCAAAAATAGATATTAAAAACAGTAGCATTGTTATTTCATGGGGTTTGATCTTCTTTGATTCAAATCATGACTCTAGAAACATGATACTTGGGTGTAACAGAATCTGTACCCGCACACTGACACAATTGTTCCTATTTCATCCCTTGCTGGCTCCAGCCGCAGCTTCCTCAAAGATAAGTTTGCTGAGTTTCCATTTGAACCAGGTGCAGAAGGACTGTGTGTGTGTCCTTTTCCCAGCCAGCCTCAAGACATTTGGGGAATTAGATATGATAAGCAAGAAATCCTTTTCTTTTACCACTTTTCCCTAGTTGTGAGGATGCAATATGGCAATAGGTACTTTACTAATGCAGCAAATGACGAGAGCTAGTGGGAAGATTAATAACTGCTATCATTGCGAAGTAATGACAAGCATAAACAATAATTCAGGATGTGTGGAATGACCGTGCATTATTTCTCTTGGTGACCAATCAAGGAACTGCTCACCCCACTGTGCCTTGTTGCCTTGCATTCATAATAAGAGGAAATGCTACATTTCAGAGGCTTGTGAAAATAGAGATTCATAGACTGACTCCATTCGAGCCACAGATGCCCTAAATTCGGAACATTTTCCAGGGGGTTCAGTTTTATTCCTGGTGGATAGCCACTTCTACGTACTTCTGATTCTGAGTGTGTGTGTGTGTGTGTGTGTGTGTGTGTGTGTGTGTGTGTGCGCGCGCGTGCGTGCACACGCACGCACACATGCCTTCCTTATCTCACACTCCTCCTTCCTGCCGCCCATGCCCCAAGTCCCAGGATACTAGATAAACACGCACATCCTTTCATCTCCATGTCCCCAGCTCTTGTTACAGAAACTAGCAACAGTGGCTTCTCAAAATGTCACGAAGCCCACATGATAAGGAGCCCAGAAGCAGGCTCTTGAGGGCCTGTGCACCATCCCAATGAGGCCCCAAGGGCTCGGGCTCCTTCAGACTTCCAGTCCCTCCACATTGAGCTACAGCTTTCAGCCATTTCTGCAGGAGGGTTACTCTACCTCCCGGCATTGCTTCTGTGACCCAGGCAAGAGGAAGGGGGGGAAGGTCAGGCCACCTGCATCGTCCCTTTTATCAGGAAAACCATAGCTTTCCCAGAAGCCCCACCCAGGAGCCTTCTACTTGGAGTTAACTGGACAGCATGGCATCATGTGAGCACACAAAGCTGCAAGGGGGTCAGGGCTGGTGGGGAGCTGTAGCGGAATCTGTATTGAGGAAGAAGGGAGAGTAGACACCAGGTGAGCATATACCAGAGGCGGCCGCATGACCTCAGCCTCCTGATATTTTCCTCAGCTGGCTGCCGTATCAGCTCTCACTCCATCCACATTCTTCTTAGCCTGTCTTCAGGGTCCAGCTTCTTCCCCCACTCCCCCAGTTCACATGGATCTATACTTCCCGACTGTTGGACTTTTGCGGCTAGCAGAGGCATCGGACTCTTCTAGGGAAGCTTCTCAAGTTGGTGAAGAACGGAAGTTCTTCCCCATGATCGTACTGTTCTGGTAGCGATAGCAGTGACCCATCAGTGAGATGTATTACATAGCTGCTCACTTGGCGTAAGTTACCATTTAACCTTGCTAAATCCCCACTCCCTGTAAGATAGCCATCACCTGCCCTTTACTTTTTAGGCAACCATGGCCCAAGGGTGGTAAGTGACAGGGATGGAGTGACACAGCCAGTGACCCTGCTCTGCCTCCCACTCCCACTGATCGGCATTGAGGATGCCATGAAGACTCAGATCTTTGAATCCTGATGTCCTTGTTCTTTCTACTGCCCTCTGAGTGGGAGTGCTTATTCCTCTGTTGTATGGTGCTTGTAGTCATTCATTAGTTGTTACTGCCTGAATTTGAATGCCTTTTTAGGGTGTTCTTCACCTTCTAGCTGACATCTTCACTTTCACTCTCCTAATGCTCACAGCATAGCCTGAGTGATCTTTTAGAAACATAAATCAGGTGTGTCATCCCCAGCTCAGTCAATGGCTTTTTGTTACTCTTAGGCTACAGACAAGATCCTTTGTGTGCTCTGGAAGGACTGAGTGGTCTGGCTGCCACGTCCTTCTCTGGCCTCATCTCTTCCCCCCTCCCCTTTCCTGCTTCACTCCTCTATTCAGCCGCATGGCCATGGTTCAGTCTCCTCTCGATTGTCATGCACCTTCCTACCACAGGAACTTGGCGCCTGCTGTTTCTACTGCCTGGTGGTCTCTCCTCTCCCCTTGTTATTTTATGAACTTCCAAACGGCTCTTAGCTTAGCACTCCTGTCCCCAGGAAGCCTCCTCCAAAGTGCCCCTCTGTATGCTGGCCTCACAGCGCTAAGAATCTCTCCTTGTAGCCCTGAGTAGAATTGTAATCGTTTTAAAAAAAAAAAAAAAAAAAGAATTTTTTTTATGCTTTATTTATTTCTGAGAGAGAGAGAGCATGAGCAGGGGAGGGTCAGAGAGAGAGGGAGTCACAGACTGAAACAGGCTCCAGGCTCTGAGCTGGCAGTCAGCACAGAGCCCGACATGGGGCTCAAACCCACGAACCATGAGATCATGACCTGAGCTGAAGTCGACGCTTAACCAACTGAGCTACCCAGGTGCCCCCAGCAGAACTGTGATGTTAACGTTTGTGTGATCATTTGATCAGTGTCTGTCTTCAGACCATTACGTTCAGACCATGTCTGATATCTCTTTCAGCCAATTTTTTTTATCCCCAATATCCATTTTATGCCTGTCACATAGGGAACACTCGGTATTTATTGACTAAAAAACAACTATTTTATCTCAGCACATGGCACAGAATTGAATGAAAGCAAAATTTAAAGGGCACACATGGAGTAATGGCATATGTCACCATAACTATAGAGTGTCTTCTAGCATTGTTCTAGGATAGACCAAAAGAATTTTATTGAATGACTTGAACTAGAAAAATGATTCAGTATTTATTGCTGTGCTACAGATAAGCTTAGTAGTCCAAAGTGGATATTATATGCACCCTACCTGTTTTATTACCTATGTACCTTAGCTATTTAATAAATTAAAGCTCTTATTTTTCTATATGATTTTTTTAAAGTTTATTTTTGAGAGCGAGCATGAGTGGGGGAGGGAGAGAGAGAATACTAAGCAGACTCCATGCTGTCCGTGCAGAGCCCTATATGGGGCTTGAACCCAGGAGATATGAGATCATGATCTGAGCCAAAATCAAGAGTCAGACACTTAACTGACTGATATTATAGTTAAGATCTTAGGCACATATAATTCAAACATGCTTCTCAAAAACATTCATCTGAAATAGTTTAGAAATAACTCAGACAAAATCCATGGTAGATGAGGGGCCATGAGGACATGTAGCTTCAGGGTACGAAAAGGAAACAAAGATGCTGTGTACCAGCTGGGAAACTGAGGGAGACAGGAAATAAGGAGATTTGAATTGGCTGCATCTTAGACTGGGTGTCTAAGGAAAAAACATGTTCTAAAAATATAGGATGTAGAGCAAAGAAGATGGGGCAAAATTATCTGAGAGTGAAAAGGCTCTGAAGGGGAAAAATGGGTCTACTTCTTTCCCCTTGAACCTGGAAAAGGAGGTTAACTTTCTCCAGAGACTCCAGGCCATCCAGGCCAGGGTTGTTCTGGGGTTGTGGAAGACAAGTGAGGCTTGTGTGTTAAAGCTGGCTCCTAAAGACTTAGGTCTGGCGTGGAGTTCTAGCTCAAACACCAGCGCATCTGATCAAAGTGGATCTTGCCCTAGAGTGCTGACAGAGCTTGCATGGGAGGCTGGGCTCCTCCCCTAGGCAGAGAGGCAGGGACCAGCTCACCCCTTGGGTGGGTAACAGCAGTGACAAGTCTGGGACACTTCTCTGAATCTTGTTGCCATGTTTCCACCGCCTGCCCCCTCAACCGTTGGCCAAAGACAGATGACCAAGGGGATGCACCGTGCCTTGCTGCTCCAGTGTGACCCTGGGGCAGTGGCCATCGCGGTTCTCACTCCCTGTCGCCTCCCTCCCCCAGGAATCAGAAGGCGTCTCCTGTCACTACTGGTCGCTGTTTGATGGTCACGCAGGGTCTGGGGCTGCCGTGGTGGCCTCCCGCCTGCTGCAGCACCACATCACGGAGCAGCTGCAGGACATCGTGGAGATCCTCAAGAACTCGGCCGTCCTTCCGCCCACTTGCCTGGGCGAGGAGCCCGAGAACACACCCGCCAACAGCCGGACTCTGACCCGCGCAGCCTCGCTCCGTGGGGGCGTGGGGGCCCCGGGCTCCCCCAGCACCCCACCGACGCGCTTCTTTACCGAGAAGAAGATTCCGCATGAGTGCCTGGTCATCGGGGCTCTTGAAAGTGCATTCAAGGAAATGGTAGGTATCGTGGAGGGGTCCAGGGGGGTAGGGGTCTGGGGTGGAGGCCCTCACTTAAACCAAAACGTTCCTTAGAAGGTTCCCTAGGACAGGTCTCTGACCTGCCGTCCTGTTGTGCGACTCCCCTTGGGACTTCTCCGTTTGATACTCCATTCTCAGCAGAGGTTTGGCAGAAGGACAGGGTGCCTGGCATTGAGTGCTGGCAAAAATTAAAACGGTGAAAGGGAGGGATAGTGTATGAGCTAACGGGCTTTTAAAATGTACCTAGGATTGCATCTCTTTCTGCAGACTCTGTGATGCCAGCTGGTGGTACAGTTCCACTTAATTGAAATGTGAGCGTGGCTGCCATCTGTTTTACACGTGTAGGGATTACAGGTGTTTGGGGAAACAGCTTTTAATGAAGTGCTCAGAAGTACCTTTCCTGTATAAATCTGATCTGAGCACTGCTATTTTACCATGATTGGGCATGTGGTTCTTAATGCTTAAAAAAATATATTGTTCCTGCTGGAGGGGAATCGAGGCCACTCTCTGAGATTTACATTTTACTGGGGAGCATGGACTGTTTGTACATTTCAGTTGGGATGTCTCTGATTAAAGAATTCAGCCTCCTTCCCTCTCAGCCTCAGTCCTGAGAGCACATGCAGGGACAGTGCGCAGCTGCCCTCATAGTGTCCCCTGTTGTCCCTCTGCCTGGTGGGGGACCACACCTCTGTGCCACCCCCTTTCCCTCTCTGAGCTCACTTTCTTTTTTTTTTTTTTTTTTTTTAATTTTTTATGTCTTTGTTTTATTTTGAGAGAGACAGACAGACAGAGTGTGAGCGGGGGAGGGGCAGAGAGAAAGGGAGACACAGAAGATAAAGCAGGCTCCAGGCTCTGAGCTCTTAGCACAGAGCCCGATGCAGGGCTCGAACCCACAGACTGTGAGATCATGATCTGAGCCGAAGTCGGATGCTTAACCGACTGACTGAGCCACCCAGGCACCCCTGAGCTCACTTTCTACTGAGGCAGTTATTGTGGTTCCAGAGATTTTTCTTTCCTGAGCAACAGCCTGCATGCAAGTAAAGAGCCAGGAATGTTCAAAGATGTTATAAAGACGGGAGTAGAGCAAGTGTGCTGTATTATCCTAAAACCTGGGGAGTAAAAAGTGATGAACAGCTGTTCAGTGAGCAGGAAGAGGTTAGGAGCACCCCTGTGGAATGGAGCGCAACCCAGCGCACAGTCCAAAATCAGACTGTGTGCTGAGGAGAGAACTGTTGAGAGATGATGTTGAACAGCGCCTCCCCGTCTGATTTGCTTAAGAGGCAAAATGCTTCGTATCTTCACACCTCATGTTTGCACCCTGTCCTCACTTTAACCCATCCCTTCTTTGGTCAGTGTATGTCTCTCCTTGTCACGTAGGTATTTACCCTAGAATAGCAGGTGGTGTAAAAAGCATCTCTCTCTCAAGAGTGTCTGGTAGCCTTCAATCCCGAGAAAACCACCAGGAAGCTGGAAAAGATTATTTAGGGATAAAGGAATCAAGGTAGTAAAATTGACTCCTGTGCGGGCTCTGTATAAAATCTCCCTCACCAGCTGTCACAGGAGCTCTGATGGGAATGTGTTTCTAGACACTGATGTTCAGAATGCTAAATATTTCATTGAGGTAAAAACTGTGACAGTAGGCTATTCTCTTCATGGGAGAAAAAATCAGCTTACATGACAGAAGTGAAAAGCTAAAGAAACTTAGGGATTTTCATTTCCTTCTGTAATTGCTTCTGCCACAGGGCATCTTTTACTTGGAACTGCTGTATTCTCAATTCTATCCACTAGAGGCCAATGTCACCTTGAGGTAGGCCTCCTCAGTGGTCTCCCGCTCTTTCTGCCCATTAATGCCTCAGGGGTACTAGCAACCACTATACTTGAAATGAGAGGCTCATTCAGAAAAGTACTTAGTCAAGGGCCTCATTCTTCTCTTTTAAATTTTTTCTGCTTTTAACTAACCAGTATATTACCTGCAGTTTTTACCTTGGAAACTTAGTTGCCGGCAAAAGGATCATTTCACTTTCCCAATTCATTCATTCAGTCAGTAAATGTTTGATCAGAACTAACTCTATGCAAAGCCTAGTTGGGAAAAGAGCACTGAACAGACTAGGCAAAGGCAAGTGTTAGATGAGTAAAATATGAGTGGGAAGGGCCTTGAATGGGGAAACGCAGGGTGACGTAGGAGCCTGATAAAGAGCTGAAGCGAAGGAGTTCCGTGGGTTTCCTTAGGGAAGTGATGCTGGGGATGGGGGTGAGGAGGAGTGATGCAGGTTGAACAACAGGAGGCTGGTTCTGTGGAAACTACATCAGAGAACCCCCACAGGCCCGAGGCAGCGAGCTGTTGTCGCGGGTAGGAATGACGGATGTAAGATGAAGTGGAGAGGCGGTCTGAACCTACCTGTGGAGGACCTGGTGTGCTGTGTTATGAATTTTTGGCTTTAAGCCATATCTGTTTTTCAGTTCCTGACAACGTGCGACTTCCTCTTCACTCTTAAGTGTTTGCCAAACGGTTTCTCTAGTCTCTAGCATGCCGGAGGTCTACCTGGACTTTGCCCCATGTGCTTGGCCTATTAAATGAGAAGACTTGTCATTCCTTGGTTCACAGGGTGCTTGGTAGAGTGGTCCTGCCTTCTGTTCTGCTAGGGACTGAGCCAGGTGATGCCTGTTGGCCCAGAATAATTATTAATATACTATCCCTTTTAGTCTCAAAGTGTCTCTGCCTGGATGATGGCTTGTGTTTACCCTAATTACAGAGAGATGCTCTTGTTTTTCTTTGCTTCATCAGGGACTCAAGGAAAATTTGACCCCAGTGTTATAGAAATGTGCCTGACTTCAACATTAAGTTACTTGGGGTGAACTTCACAACTCACAACACAGAAATCATACAGTGTACCTTCAACTGAATGGCCTGGAAGGCCATTGCCAACTCGTATCAAATACTTGTTCCTTAGTCCTTTTTTCAGTATTACATTTTTAATGTTTTATTTATCTGTTCATTTATTTTTTATTTGTGAGAGAGAGCCAGAGAGAGATGGGGCCTGAGAGTCCCAAGCTGTCTCCGGGGCTCCATCTCACAAACCGTGAGATCATGACCTTAGCTGAACTCCAGAGTCAGGCTCTTAACTGACTGAGCTACCAGGTGCCCCTCGATATGGTATTTTTGAAAGTCAGTGTTTGGAGGCAAACTGGTTTTTTGAAGTGCCCAACATGCAGCCGATTTCCTTCTCTTGTTGGCCTGGCTTTCGTGGCTTCTCCTCTGGCCTTGTGGAATGGGGCAAGTTAGGAGTTTTCCCGCCATTCCTAAATTTTCTCCTCGCAGTAGCCAGCCACTTTCTAGCTTTCCTGGTTCTCCGTATTCTTTAGTATTGCAGGTTCTGTGCTGTTCGGATCCTCTGTGATAGAAAAAGTCAATATTTAAAAAAAATTTTTTTTAATGTTTTATTTTTGAGAGAGAGTGAGCGAGCAGGGGAGGGTCAGAGAAAGGATGACACAGAATCTGAAGACAGGCTCCAGGCTCTGAGCTATCAGCACAGAGCCCGATGCGGGGCTCGAACCCATGAACCTCGAGATCATGACCTGAGCCGAAGTCGGACACTCAACCAACTGAGCCACCCAGGCGCCCCAAAAAGTCAGTATTAAATAAGATTCCATTCTTTCAGCTTTGTGGCTCTCTTACTTTCCCTCACACTTTTCATCCCTAAAAATCTCAGCCTCACATTTGCCTTACTACGACATCTTTGCAGCTACCCTTCCTGAGACTCAGAAGTAGCTTGCAGTATCTTTAAAGGCAAAGCTTGCCATTCACGTGAGGTTTTGCTTTATTTACAGCAGCATGGCAACATAGAATCAAAGGCCTTCGGTCTTTCTCTCTCTCTCCAATGTCCTTCTCAATCACTGGTATTTATTGAGCTTCTATTTTATAGCTAGCATTCTTTTAGACACCAGGGGAGGCTGGAAATAAAAGGTTAGATTATAGGTGTGGCGGCATTTGTAGTCACACATTATATGCATCTAGAGATATATAATATCTCATTTATTTTGATGCTCTAAGTAACATTAAATGGGGTGGTGACATGTTGATACCTATCTGAAGGAGAGGGTGAGGTGAAAGATTTAGAAACCCTAAGTCAGAATAAATAGTACTTCTTTCCAGGAAAAATAGGCCCTCGTCACAAAATGTAGACTCCTGGAAGTGAAGAAAACGCTCTGAACAAGTGGAGACGATAACAGTTTCATCAAATACTGTAAGCTTCTTTGAGGGCACTACTTTTCCTTTCCTCTTTGATCCTCCGGTTGCCCGACGCAGCGTGTGGCTTGTGGTGAGGGTGACCTCTGACCCCTGGCCTCTAATACTTACTGCGCTTGCCTGCTGAGGCACGTTTGCCCTTTGGCCCCCTTATTGTATCTCATTGTGGATTTTCCTTTACACTGAGAAGGCTGTGTAGTCCGTTCTTCCTGTGTCCACTATGGAAAATGAACCATAAAGGACCAGAATCTCAGGAACTTTCTGACTGACTTCAATTCTGCTTCCCCACAGTGCTTTGTCATGATGCCTACTTGAGTAGCTGAGATATGCCACTGATTATGTGTAGGCTATAGCTGGGCCCAGGATGAAGTATGCGGATAAGTAAGGACTTGTAGATCCTGGAGTCTGTCTTCTTGCTTCCACAGCCTCCCCACACAGGGCTGCATAGCCAACATTTCAGACTCATGAGGGAAATCACTTCCATTGTTGGTGGAGTTGAGGGAGACCGCTGCTCTCTAAGGAATCATAACCAAGTCAGCAGTGATGAGCCTTTCAGCCTGCCAGCTATAAAATTTGTGTTCTGGACAAAGGCAGGAGGAATTTAAAAAATTCTGCCCTATTTCCTTTTCAGTGCTGATATAGATTCATCACCATAGCGAAGAATACTTTAGAAGTTTGGTTGTTAGGAAGGAAGAAAATGGCAATGTTTTCAGTTATAGAACTATCATACATTCTCCTGTCACTGAGCTCATGATTGGGAATAGCACTCAGCTTGGATTTACTTGTAAAAACCATAATTTCACTATGGTGAAAAAAAGGATAAATGGAAAGCTTATTTATGGTTTGTAAATCCTAGTCTTTTCAAATATTAGCATATTCATGGTAAGTTATGGACCTGCATGTCATTCTGTGTTTAATAAGCTAGAGTTTTGTTTTGTCTTTGTTTTGGTAGAACAGGAAGTTCCTCCTAGAAGGAATGAGTATGTGATTCCATGAACAGCCAGCAGGTGGCAATATGAGGCAGTACTGGTTTTTTCTTTCCTCATTGCCTGGCTGACAGATTGGCTTGTTCCCAGAATAAACCAAAATCAGACCCAGATACAAAAACCATGCAGAATCATATTATTTGTGACTGACACTATTAGCAATGTGCTCAGAGCCGCGTTTTAACCCATCTATGGGGAGCTGCCAAGTCCTATTGAAACTACCCAACACTCACTCCCTTCTGTTGTCTCACATTGCTGTCCTTTTGCAACCTGAAATTAGTAGGAAACAAAGAATGATCCTGGAGTTGCATCATCCCTGGGACTTTCAAACCAAATTACAACCATCCTGAGCAATATATTTTCTTGCTTGCAGTTCTTTCCTGCTGAATTAGTCTCATTCCACACATCTCTCTTATTTCCCTTCATTGCCCATACCCTCCCTTGAAACAAAAAGGAGCAAAATAAAATCCCAAGTGTTTAAAAATTGGATCCGTTCTTATGATTTAGAGATAAACCTGGCTTAAATATACTATTTACAGACATAACACAGGATAGATCAGCCCTACTAAACAGAAGATTGTCTTGAGTGGTATGCAGGACCCTTGAGGGAGCAAGTAAAACAGTTATCTTGTTAATTGAATATTTTGAGTGTGTAAATTGGTCCTTTTAGATTATACTTGAAAAGAAATGACAGTATATGCATGTGTTTTGCTGGCAAGTTATTCTAAAGCTATGTCTTCAGTCTTGTTGACAGCTAAATTGGGGAAATAGTCTAGATTGATTGGTCCTTGTTTAGGACAAAGCAATGAGCAGTAATTCCCATGATTTCATTGATTTTTTTTTTTGGAAAAAATACCCAAACGTGAGGGCTTACAAAATAATAATAACTCTACATTTTAATGTGTTTTTAATGTAGAGTTTGCGAAGCTTAAGCTAATTGGAAAAGTTGAGGATTTGAAGAAAATGGGTAGTTAATTCAGCAGTAAATATTCTTATTGACTTCATTTATCGTGTTTGATCTGGTAGTAAAAATCATGCAGATGGTCGTTTAATGTTCCTTTCAGTGCTAAGATTTTGTGAAACATCTTTTAAAGAGGAGTAGGTGGTGTAGGAAAAAATAAATGTGCTATTTTGGCTTCTAGGGAGGGGAGGGGAAGAAATTATTTTTAGAATATGTTCTAGTTACACCCAGTTTTAGAAGAAATAGAAGAGTGTATTTTAATGTCAGCGAATCCTTCAGGAGGATGGAGTGTGTGGAAACACATTTTCATATCCTAGTCACTGTGACCCCAGAGAGCACACACATAATTAACGTGTGTGTGCACGCGAGGGCATCTGCATGTGCACACACGCACATGTATATCACGACACAAATGGCAGGGGGTGATGGAAGGGTGAACATATTAGCAGAGTTTCCTGGACAAAACATAGCTAGACTTTAGTCCACTGTTTATGTGACAGTGTTGCCAAATTTAGCATTCCTTATGCTAGGGGAACTACAGAGGGCTGAAATACAGGAAAAGATGAAAGAATGAAATCAATTAGAACAAAATACTGAATCACACTATTAACGTAACAGCAGGGGATTAATTGGGGAAGCTAACTGGAGCGTCTTCCTCCAGATGAAAGGCAAATAGTTGGAATTCTGTTAGAGCAGAAAATCATGGTGTTGTGCATACACTTCTTGTCTTGATTATTTTTAAGAAATAATTTCTTGATCTGAATTTCTTGTGATGTTAACTGTGGGACAGAACGCATCTGCAATGCAGAATGAACTTGTTTGTCTGAGTCCCAGAGGAGATTTTTGCCACGGTGCTGCTTTCACTTGGACTGTGTACCACGGCATTTTCTTTTGGACTGCATGAGTGATTTAAGTCTTTCAGGCATTATTCACACTCCACTCCATGTATAGCATGCAAGCCGTTGGGTACTCAAGGGATTTTTTTTTTAATAAAAATTGTCTTTCATTCAGACGTCAGGTTTTCAAACAAATGTTGATTCTGGATATGAAAACCTACTTTCTGTTAGCCCCACTAGATCCTTACAGTATATTAAAAACAGTAGTATAGTCATGTTGAATGTGGACTTGATACACCAGTTGATATATTTGATGAAATATCTATCTATCATATCATCAACTTTATTTTCCTTATTTAAATGCAAAAGAAAGGGAATACATGCATCTGCAAACTGCTTTGTGAATAGGGTTGTCGCTTCTGTTTTTATGCATTGTTGGGAGGTTAAGCAGACAAAACTTTTGACAGCTGGTTGTTTTCTTTCCCTTTCACTTCCTTGTGACAGTCTGTTTGGCTGATATTCCTGCACCTTCTCCTCACCCTCAGGGCTCCAGCCACTCCTGGGTAGCTTCTGAGAACCATTCAGTCCTTCTTGTCAATCCACTGCATCTGCATTGAAGCTTGGGTTCCTGCTTAACCATCATCTCAGTGAGCATTTATTTGCATCATAAGCTTTTTCCTTTGTCAATTACAGGGAACACATTTCTCATGTCAAGGCAGGGTACGGTGGTGAAGAGGTAATTTGGACACCTAGGCATTTTTTAAGGTATTTCTTCATTTGCCCACTCAATAGACATTTCTTAAGCTATGTTTTTACTTGGCCTGGTGTAGGTGTTCAGGGTCTCGCAGTGAGCAAGAGAGGTCTCTGCTGTCAGTCATGGAGCTTCTGGGTCTGGGAAGAATCTAGATGGCCAGCTAAGCCCCTCACACATGGCATCTGATTTAATCCTCACAGTAGTTCTTTCAGAAACTAATTTATATAGAATTTGAGTAAATTTTTAAAATCCAGTCATTGAAGGTGGTCCTCACGCTGGACTCTTCAAGCTTTCAGTGTTGTTGTCTGCTCACTCCTGTATTAGAATTTTCTTCCCTTTTAAACTACCATGCCCCACATATACACACTCTCACTCCCTCCCCATAGTTCCTCAGCCTTCCTCTTCCCTTCTCCCTTACCCAGTTGATTCTCAGATTTAGTTTTTGTTAGTTTCTCCCACATTCTGATTTTGTACTTTTCATCTACTTACTTTTTCCCAGTATGCTGATTTTCATCTGTGTCTTTGGCTCAGGCTCTTGCCCTGTTTCCAGTTTTTCACTGGTGATTTATCTGACCTTGTATTAACCACCTCTGTCCTCTGGAGCCAAGCCTTTGCTGACAAATGCCAGATTACTGAATTATCTCCCTCTTTTGCAGAAGGCTGGTTGAAGCAGCAGAGTTGTGACTGGGTTTCTAAGAATCACAAATTCCTTCTCCCTCCTTCTGCCTCAACCGTAGGTTACCATGAGATTGTTTGGCATTATTTTAGCCAGCATTCAGTTTATTTTCCTAACTTCACTCATGTTTTTCGGGGGTCATAGAACCCATGCTTCTGTCACTAACCCAGAATTTCACAGAGACATGTGTCTTAGATGATGCCTATCTGTCAAGAGAAGTCTTGGTCTGTTATGAATTTTCTCGGTGAGGGGGGAGGGGCTTATAGAGGGCAGGTAATAATAGGCTTTGGAGGAGGAGAATAAGATTGAAATCCAAACTTCAAACAGGTAAATATGCACAAGTTACGCCCCCGCCCCCGCCCGTCTGCCTCCCAACATGAAGGTTAGTAATATGGTTGTGAGGATTAGCTGAGACTCTGTACAGTGATTTGTGTCCTGCCTGACCTAGAAGATGTGCTCCATGAATATTGGCTCTTGCTATGAATGTGTGTCACACACACATTTGTTGTGAATCTGTGGCCTAGGACGATGGAGTCAGATCAGGGTTTGTAAGCGTCTCTCTTTGATGAGTAAGACAGAGGGTTGGCTCCTGCCTGCTTTGAAGAGAGAACATAGTTCCTCAAGTCACTTCTCTTATCTGGCTGTAAAAAGAAACTATTTATTGGAGATTTTGGGGTTAAAAACATTGCTCAGGTCCAAGTAGTTGGCATTATCAGCCTGTCCATTCGTTGTATTTCTCACATGGTAGGTCAGGCAGCCCATACAAAGACTAAATTCTCTACAAACTGGCGTATTTATTATTGAATACACTTGGTTTTCTTTTTCTTGTTTTTTTGTTCTGATTAGATCTGTTTGCCAACCCTTGTTTCCTGTCTCTGGTCTGCAGATGGGCTAGTAGACGACAGTTTTATGCTGGTGACCTCCATGATTAAATGTTCTTCAGGTGGGAGAAAAGTACTAAAGATTTTCTTGTCCCATCTTTGAAGCACATTCTGACTCCAAGGGCTCTGTCAAGGGAATGAAGTTAAGAAAGTCTTTGATACGAGTTCTTACGCAATCCAGCACTAACTTTGTTTTCTTCTCCAGGACCTACAAATAGAACGAGAGAGGAGTTCGTATAATATATCTGGTGGCTGTACAGCCCTCATTGTGGTTTGCCTCTTGGGGAAGCTGTATGTGGCGAATGCTGGCGATAGCAGGTGAGCAGATTCTCCGTCCAGTGCTTCCCGATCTCTCATGCCTTTGATACTTTTAATCTGTTTTAAAATAGTGATTGGAAATACCATAACTCTGCTTTAGATTAGATACTGAGAAAGAGGGTCCTTCTCCATCTGAATAAAATGCATTTAAGACGAATCATCAGGCTGGTAGTAAGAGGTTCAGGCTGTCTCATGCCCGTCCCAAGTAGCAGATCATGTATAGATCTGTGATTGATCTGTATACCTGGGGTTAATACCTGTGGCTAACCTAAGCAGGTAGTGTACAAATGTTTTTTGACTTCAGAACCTGATTTGCAATAAAAGCCTAGCAGAGGCATAAAAACAGGAGAGTGGAAGGAGGAGAGGGCTTTAAAGGAAGAGAGTGTTTGCAAGGGACCGGGGAGGACTCTATAACTGTTTCCAGTTATGCTCAGTGACTTTGCTTGGTCCCCTCCCAGAATCCCATGCGTTTCTCCCTTTGTGCGCAAGTCCTTAGAGGCTATAGTCTCGTCTTTTCTCGGCTCAGCTGAAAGGAATTTTGGACAAGAGATTATGGTTAACCCCTAATCTATCCAGTATTATCAGGAATAAGATACATTTGGGTTTTATTTTAAATAACTAATGTGTCCTTACTTTAAACGCAGGGAATTTTAAACTTATAGACTTTGTGGAAAGTGTTCTAATTTGTATTACATACATGTCTGCCCCCCTTTGGTAACCACATATGTTGGCTCTTTGCTAAAGATTGACTCTTTGTTTTAAAAGCAATCAAAGTTCTAGACTGTGCACAAGATGTCCTTAAAGGATGAGTGATTCCCCTGTGCAGTCTATGGTCCCTCAGTCCCCTCTCTCTGGGTCGTGTGCCTCTTTGAGCATCCCTGCCTGCCCTTGGCCCTGCTCCAGGTCTGTCCCCACTCCCTGCCCTTCCCTGTTAACCTCCAGTGGTGGTGGAAGATTGACTCAGGCATGCAGCAGGGGAGGAATTTACCTTACTTTGCCTTCTATTCACAAAGCAGGACAGCCTGAGGGAGTCTTCATTCCCTCCAGTTAGCATCCTTTCCTAGTCTTCCCACAGAAGATCCCAGAAAGTAAAGGAGAGTGCACTGCCAAGGCAGCAGTATTTGGAGTTTGACAATTGATGGTTTTAGAAGGTCTGTTTATTTTTAATGTGTATGTAGATTTCTATTAAACTCTGTAAGCTACCTCTTTTTCAACATGGCATTTTGCTGGGGAAATGGAAGTGTCTGTAAGATGCCATGTTGATCCCATGGCTTCTGTTCCTCAGTGTCTTGTCAGAGTCCTGGCAGGAGACAGACGCCTACTCAGGTGGGTCAGCTGAATGAAGCAGTAAAAGGAACCCCATTGGAGGGGGCATTGGGTCTCAGGAAGACTTTTACCACCTGAGGTAAAAGACCCAGGGAGGACTTGCCACAGCAGAGCCCAGGAGAGTGGGGTCACAGGTGAGGGCCCATGGGCAGGAGCTGCAGGAGAAAAGGGAAGAAATACTTGGACCTCTTTCTCTTGCATCCTCCCATCTCTTGCCAGGGCTTCCCCATGGATGAGCCCAGCTGGGAGCCAGATGACAGGTAGCCGGGAGAGTGCTGGTCACAGAGGTCAGCCAGCCGGGCACGCACGCAGACAGCACATCCGGGGTGGGGGTGGGGGGGCAGGTGGAACCAGCACCTCTGCTCTCTCCCCCTCCTTCTCCCCGCCAGGGCTTGAGCTTCCTGCAGCTAGGAATCTTCCATCTCCAGGGGCCTTTTAAGACACACTGAGGAGCTGGCCTCTGGGCCTGTTTTTTTTTTTTTTTTTAAATGTTTTATTTCTGAGAGAGAGAGAGAGAGAGAGACAGCGTGAGCAGGGGAGGGTCAGAGAGAGAGGGAGACACAGACTCTGAAATAGGCTCCAGGCTCCGAGCTGGCAGTCAGCACAGAACCCGACACGGGGCTCGAACCCACGGACCGTGAGATCATGACCTAGGCGAAAGTCAGACGCTTAACCGACTAAGCCACCCAGGCACCCCTCTGGGCCTGTTTTCCTATTCCTGATCTTGCGTTTGTTTGGAGACAAAGGCGCAGATAAGAAGGAGATACCCTTCTGTTCTGAGTGAGACTGAATCGGCCATTCTCCCACTGCACTCCTATCCACCCTTGGCTTTATGCCCACTTCCATGCCCTTTGAAATGCGTTTGTTTTTCTAGCCCTTCCATGACGAGGGAGGTGACAATGTCTTGCTCCCTGGAGAGGGGCCCACACCTCATCCCAGGAAGCACCGCTCACCAGATGATTCCCACACTCGGAAGAGAACCCAAACTTCTGGGCCCAGAGTATCTTCATGTTGGATTATCCTTTTCATAGATGCACCTTCTCCCTGGTGCCTTCTCCTCATTTTTGAATCTAGTTTTCTTCAAAGCTCCCAGTGCTTTAATAGAGCCACTTACCCAGCCAGGCCTCCATCCTCCTTCCCGGAAGCTCCAGTGCCCTGGCCAGGACCTGCCAGTCTCAAATATTCATCTTCGGGACTCTTGTCCCCAACCCCCCGCCACCCTCGTCCCTTGTTTTTAAAGTGCCAATTTCTAGGCCAGATCTTGAACTCCTCATCTGTAAAAATAGTGGTGGTGGACCAAATAATCCCTAAAGTTTCTGGCCTTCCATATACATTATCCCAAGAGGAGTGACACTTTTGGAAGGTAAAGTGATGCTAAACATGTTGATCTTTTGGTAATTTGTATCCTTCTTACAGTCAGTTTTTGAACTCTCAGTATAACACAGATTCCGATGTTTTTAACATAAAAACATGCATAAAAGTATGATATTTTACATGCCCCCAGTAGTTTGAAAAGCCTAACGGATACTTTTATTCTCATTAAAACTAGAAAGCATGTGCACGTGCGCGCACACACACACAAATTACCCTATGATAAAACAGATCTTTAAAAATCTAATAAGTTTAATTACATGTGTAGTGTTTAGGCCTCAGTATCCAGGTATGAATTTGGGGTTTTATGACTGGTTGCTGTTCAGGTATGGGTCATACGTCATATAGAAACCTAGGAGTAATAGGAATTGTTACTTGCATTCACCATCTAAAGGATAACTTATAGGGCATTTATTCATTAGGGTGCTATTTTTAGCTCTTGTACGAACAACAGATATTCAGTATCTTCTTCTGTAGGATCATTGCCTACTTTATGTACCAATAGTATATTACAGGTATTTGAATTTACAAAAATAGTCCATTATTCCCAAGAAACAACAACTAAGTGAACTTTGATCAGACTTACATAAATGTAGATCCATTATTACTTATAGGCAAGTAGTCATGAATCTGACGGCTGAATTTAAACAGATGATTAGTGGTGACAGAGGTCTCTAGTTACAGGGCCCTGATTAAGTATGATTTCTTCTTCGTTATTGCCAGACTTTGGCTGCTATATGTTTACTTTAAATCTTGACAGTTTTGAGAGTGAAAGCGTATCTTTGTCATAGGTTCACTACCCCATAATTATTCACACTCAGGGAAGGAGAAGCATTGCACTGGTTTGATTTGGAAGCCACTGGTGGTCAGGAACTATTTTCTGAGCTGCCTAGTGAACTGTGAACTGTTTGATTCCCCATCAGGCACATGTATGTTGGGGGTTGTATGAGGAGGAGCTGCCTCATGTTGTTGGTGGCTTAGTGGTTTTTGAGTCACTGATTTACTCCTCTTGGTGTAGAATGGTTCACAGTGATGCCAGGTGACTGGTATAGAGTTTGGGACAGATTTGCCTTTCTTTCCTCAGCAACTGGTGCACAGGGTAGAACAGACCTACCCTTCTCTCCTCCCCCGAGGTAACTAGCCTTAGAGGAACATACAGTAAGTACCTGATGCATGACACTTGGTTTATTTTTCCTGGGCAAAGACAGCCTACTTAACACCTACAGGATCATAAGAGACTAGGAAAGAAGCAGAAGGTGGGTGGGTTTCTTCTAGCAAGAAAGAACTGGTGACAGGCAAATGTCATGCAAAGCAATATGCAAACTATCACCCATTGTGTTTGAGTCATTGGCTCCTTAGGGCTCTGACTGATTCTTCAGTTTGAGAAGATGCTTTGATTCCATTTTAGAAGATGATTGCATTTTATTTGTATGGAGGCAAAGCCGTTGTCACTTATTTCTAACAATGTCTAAACGTTTGGCACCTGAGACTAGGTCAACTCCTTCAGATGAAAGAACACCACTGAAGCCTAGTTAACTTGATGATTCCATTCTTGCCAGATTTATGTAACAGGACAAGAAGACCTCTAATAAGTGCTAGGCACATGTTAAATACCATAACATAGAGAATTATATTCAGTTCTCTCAGCAATTTAGTGACAAGTAGGCATTCATTGTTAATGTCCAATAAGTATAATGAAGCACAGCAAGGCGACTTGTCAGAGGTCCCACAGCTGCTAAGAAGCAGGGCTTCCCTCCAGCTCAAGGCTGGAAGTCAGACTGATACATACATACATACATATATATGTACATATATACATATACATATATATATATACGTACATATATACATATAGGCCCCACACCCAGCATGGAGCTTAATGTGGGGCTTGAACTCATGACCTTGAGATCAAGATCTGAGCTGAGAACAAGAGTTCGAAGCTTAACTGACTGAGCCATCCAGGTGCCCCCAGGGTGCTGTGTTCTTAATGCCTGTACCTTGGGATTTCCCATCCGTGCTAAGACTTACAGGGTTTTTTGTTGTTTTTTTTCACATTTCCACAAGTCTAAATTCAAGAGTTTCTAATTAACTTTTTTCTTTCCTATTTGTATGTAAAATGGTGACCTACTTTATAATCAGTGGCATCTTGGAATTCACCTAAAATGGTTTCTGGAGTATAGTTGAAGGGGTGCCTGCACTTAAAATCTATTTTAAATGCATGGCAGTAGTGAGGCACCTAAGCATTGGGTAGTCAGTTTCATTCATTTATGATGCAAGGAATGATATTTTCTCAAAACTAGGGC